CTAAGTGAAATAAGATAAAGAAACACAAATACTGTAAGATATTACGTGTGGAGTCTAAAAAAAAATACAACAAACTGGTGAATATAACAGAAAAGAAGCAGAGTCATAGATGTAGAGAAGGAACTAGTGGTTACCATTGGTGAGAGGGAAGGGGGAGGGGCAAGATGGAGGTGGAGAATTAAGAGGTGAAAACTATCAGGTATAAAACAAGCAACAAGGATGTGTTATCCAATTTGGGGAATATAGCCAATATTTTATAATAACTATAAATGGATTATAACCTTTAAAAATTGTGAATTATATATTATATACCTATACCATATAATATTGTACCTCAACTATACTTTAATTTAAAAAATAAGATATTATTAAATAAATACATAAATTTTTTAAAATGCAAAAAAAGAATATTAAGTTAGGAAGTTGATTAATTTGGAGCTCTTTATTGGTTGGCTTTAATACTATGGAAAGTGATTTCTCCAATATCTGACCATAGGTCATCAGTAGGAACACTTATTGCTTTGTCTGTGGCTCCTACCTCTTTAGAATACAAAGCAGAGCCATCCATGTGGTCTGTAGTAGACACACCATAAGAGAGAAGTATTTGTCCCCATTCCTGCCTCTCTACTTTTCTCCTTTGGAATGTTTCTGAGGGCTCTGCCTTGGAATGGATATCCTCCAGGATATGCTGGACATGCCCTCTTCCTTCTTAGCATTTGTTACCAGTGGCAAGCCTGTCTGAACAGAAGCCCAAAGGCACTGACAAGGTGGTATGGGTGTTCACTGCTGTGAGCTCTGAGTCTCTCGTTGTCTTTGGTGGTGACTTCTTCCACCTGGGATAGACCTCATCCTGTGTTCCTTCAATTCCACTTCACAGTGTCTTCCAGCCTCTTTAGTTCTGGAGTGGGAACAGAGGCCAAATGGCACAGCTAATTTTCAAAATTGTTACAGTGTTTGGGGAACAAGATTCACAGCTTTACATGAGATTGTCAAAGTTGGTGATCCTGCATAGTTAAGAACCACTAGCTAGAGAGGGGTGGAAATAGTCCATTCAGCCCAATCCGTGGCAGCTTCTCCACTAGTTCTGCTGGATGTGTGACTGGCCACGCTACTACCTAGGGCTATAATGCCTGTGGACTCTAAAGCTTGAGACAGGTCCCCTGAATCTGACTTGTCCCAAAGGATTCTCTTGGCACTGCCTACATTCAGTGTATAGTTGGCACCCAGTAGGTTTTCCTCTTACTCTTAATGTATTAGCATTGCCATTGCCACTGGTCTTAGTCTATGTTCCTGCAACCTCTCCATAGTACCTCTCCATCTCTTTTTTTGCCCTAGAAAACCAGCTTCTTTGAATCATTCTCCTGTGTTTAGAAGAATAGGGGACAAACTGCATCGAAGTTGTTCCATCTTGGACTGAACATTTACCATGGTATAATATGGTATGTAGTTAAGGGAGTGGGCCAAGGAGAGAGCCATTTACTTACTCCATTCACTCATCTCACAAAGCACCTATGGAGTGCCTATGTTCCAGGCATTGGAGGTACACTAGTAAACAAAACAGACAAGATGCTGGATTTATTGAGGCTGGCAGGCAGAAAAAGAGATAAATAAACACAGAGGTAAGGTAATTACAGATTGTAATAAATACTAGGGAAGAAATAAACAAGGTGACTAGTCCCTGGGGGAGGCTGCTGTAGATAGGATGGTTTGAGAAGTCCTTGTCAAGATGAAGTTTGAACTGAGACCTGAAGAATGAGGGGCATTTAGTCACGCAAAGGGTTAATTTTATAGGTTTAGGGTTACAGCATTTCAGGCAGAAAGAACGAGAAGAGTTCCTGGCTTTGTTATGGAAAGGGCTTTGTCAAGTTGAAGAAACAGGGAAATGATCAAGATGAGTAGAGAGTAGGAGAAGGAAGAAGACTAATATGAGATGAGATTGGAAAGGTAGAAGGGGCCAGGTCATGTGGAATTTTGAGGAGCATGTTGAATGTTCTTCAGTTAAGTAGAATAGTAATGGAAAGCCTTTGGAGGATTTTGGATGGGACAGTAATTTAATGTAATGTAGTTTAGCAAGATCACTCTAGTTTTTAGGTGTATGGAGAATAGATTGAAGTGGACAGAAGACAAT